ACAGCGGAGCCCGGGATCAGCGGGACAATGGCGGGGGGGACAGCAGAGGGAGGGGGGGCCGCACCGATCGTCGCTAAATACAAGCGATCCGCCGGCTTTACAGTCGGCGGATCGCATGTATATTAACGGGCATCGCTGCCCTTTTTAAATTGCGGCCATTTCCCGCTCGCGCGCACGGCGGCGCGCGCAAGGGGGCGTGTCTGAGCGGACATCGAAAGACGCCCGCTCAGATCTAGAGAGCTCCTGGCCGGCCGTTTTTTTACTACGGCCGGCCCGGAGGCAGTTAAAGGACGCTTGTGTGAGACAAAAGCTTTTTTTCACAGGTCACAAATAGTTTAAATGTTTAAAATTTTCACAGTATGATCCATTCAGCCAATGCAGGAGCATGTAATTCAGAATGAAAAAGGGGCAGATATCTGTTCTTTGGTAGTTTCTACTTGGAGATCAGCATGTGAAAGACTGCTTTAAGGATGCTCCTCTTGCACTAAAATAAACAGATGTTTCACAAAACCATACAGTATAGGAAGGAACAAGAATGTAATGCAAATGGTGAAGAACATGAAATACTGTATATATGGTAAATCAACATAACATAAGTAACATTACCTAAACACCAAACTTAGTAGGATACTGTCAGGACTGGATGCAGACACTCATTCTTTCCCCTAAGGCAAGTGCACCTACCAGTACTCAGATGTCCCCAGGACTTAAACTATATGCTCTGGCTAAATCATTTTCCAGCTGGATCCCAGGTACAGAGCAGAGGTGTGGACTTGTGATGGAGGACACCACAAGAGTGTTTAGCAATGACAGGCTGAAATTAGGACTGGTGGCAGACAGAGAATAATTTAGGGACATGCCGAGGTGCGGACTGGTGGAAGACAGAAAGTATTCAGAGGACAGGATGAGGTCAGGACTGGCAGCAGGCTGAGAGTATTCCATAAACAGGCTGAGGTCAGGACTGGCAGAAGGCAGAGAGTATTCCAGGGATAGGTTGAGGTCAGGACTGGTAGAAGGCAGAGAGTATTCCAGGGATAGGCTGATTTCAGAAACAGTGGCAGACAGAGAGTATTCCAAGGACAAGATATTCAGAGACTGAATACAGGCTTATGTTGACAAAACAGAGAAGGAAAAAGGGAAAGGAGCGCGACTGCCTGGTGCAAAATACGTGGGTAAGAAATGTTCAAGGACAAATGGTGGGTCAAGGTGAATAAATGTAAGAAGGTGTAGGTGATGTTTGACACTTACGTGTGATGGAGAGAGAGGACACAATAGTGGTGAACTCTTCTGATGGGGTTGGTGTGTGTTCAGTGGTGGGACACTCCTGGGGTCCCGCCGTTAGGGTGGAAGGGCTTCCCAAGGTTTAGTGGGCTCTCTCGATCCTTGCTGCAAAGTAACCAAAGCGATCTGGATATGTAGCACAAGATCCATGTCCAAGAAGTTACTAGCAGAACTTGAGTCTATAAAGGCCTACAGGTGATGGGTTAAGGACCCAAAGGCAAGCTGAGCAGGAACAAATAACTTGTTTATGAGGCCTGGTAATGGAGTCAGATAACAATGTCCCTGTTTGTTAGGGCATTTAAAAATAAAGTGCCCTCGATCACCACAGTATAGGCAAAGGCCCAGTGTACTTTGTCTGATTTTCTACTCAAAAGAAAGACGAGTAGCTACTATTTGCATAGGTTCCTCCTGAAAGGGCACAGAAGGCTCCAAGACTTTCTGAGGAGGTGACACCGAAAGGAGGCTAAGAAGCAGGGATACCAACCTCTCTGTTCGTCTTTCTCATAGACGCCAATCTACCCTAATGGCTAGGTCCATGGCTTCTTCCAAAGTGTTAGGCTCAGGATAATGCACCAGGGAATCTTTTATAGAATCTGCCAAGCCCAATCTAAACTGGCTCCTCAAAGCTGGGTCATTCCAGCAGAAATCGGGACCTCAGTGGCAGTACTGTTCTGCCGTGTGTCTCCCTCGTAGAAGGGCTCTGAGGTTGGTCTCGCTGTGTGGGTGCGGTACGGATCATCATACAAGAGACCAAGGGCCGAGAAAAAGGCATCAGCAGAAGATAGATCATGCGCAGACAGGCTGAAGGCCAAAGACTCAGTGGTGTCACAAGGGGGGTGCGGCCTGCACCCGGGTGACACCATTGGAGGGGTGACACCAAAATGACTGACAGTCATTTTGGAGTCATCCCCTCTGAAAAGTCAAGGCAATCAGTCATGGGCCGAGAGCCCGACAGTTTCGGGAGAGAGGAGGGGAACCGACAGCATACCTTATCCCGCCGGGTGACTGTCCCCTCCTCTCTTTGCCGGCGTCCATCACCAAGATGGCCGTCGGCAGGTATTAATAAGATTTCTGCGCATGCGCGATGGCATCATATATGGATCCTCTTGTAGCAGTGAAATGATAATGCGAATTGTAACAAGCCCCTTGCTCGCTCGGTTCCACTCTCCTGGCACTCCTCAGATTTCAGACCGCAGCTTCTGATATCTTGGTCATCCAATAATTCGGGATTCAAACTACAGCTATGTGTCGTTTGTATCCAGTGGTGATAGCTCAGAACAAACACCAGGCAGGCTGTATGTAAGTTCAAACAGGAATCTCCTTTATTGGATGCACACACACACTTTTATAAACAACAGTTTGAAGGTGGGCCAACCACCTTCCTATTGGTCAACTGTAAAGTATCCTCCAGTCCTCACCTAGGTCCTCTTGGCCATGCAAATGAGGACTCGAAACAGGGTAAATAGGGATTAGTCCATAGTCTCTAGGAAGGAGGCTAGCCCTCAGGCTCCTCCAGCAGCCCCAGTGACGGTTCAGTCTGTCACATTTCTCCCCTCCCAACAGTAGACTAACCAGATACCAGGCCCCCAACTGGTCTGGACCTGTGTTAGTCGGACAAGACCAATTTACATGTCCGGCATCTGATTTCCTGAAAACAAACTGTCGCTGGGGGTTGTTGAGGGCCCCTACATCTCCCTGCACCATGGCCTGCCGCTGGGGAGTGAGAATGGCTGCCTCCCCTCCCTGGGACAAAGACTGCCACTGGGAACAAGTATCTGCTGCACCTTTTTGCAGATGCTCCACCTGCTGCTGGGGAGAGAGGCCGGCTGCCTCCTCTCCCTGGAACTCCCTCTACCGCTGGGGAGAGAGGCCGGCTGCCTCCTCTCCCTGGAACTCCCTCTGCTGCTGGGGAGAGAGGCCGTCTGCCTCCTCTCCCTGGAACTCCCTCTGCCGCTGCGGAGGGAGGCCGTTTTTCAGACTGCAGCGTCTGATATTTCGGACATCCGATAATTTGGGATTCAAACTACAGCTCTGTGCCGTTCGTATCCAGTTGTGATCGCTCAGAAAAAACACCAGGCAGGCTGTATGTAAGTTCAAACAGAAATCTCCTTTATTGGATGAACACACACACTTTTATAAACAACAGTTTGAAGGTGGCCCAACCGACCACCTTCCTATTGGTCAACTGCAAAGTATCCTCCAGTCCTCACCTAGGTCCTCTTGGCCATGCAAATGAGGACTCGAAACAGGGTAAATAGGGATTGGTCCATAGTCTCTAGGAAGGAGGCTAGCCCTCAGGCTCCTCCAGCAGCCCCAGTGACGGTTCAGTCCGTCACACGAATCCATTGGACTTCATAGCCAGAAAAGCACAGTC